CAAACCCATTTCTGGGAGTTACCACCTTTCCTATCTTTAATCATGTCCAATACAATGTTGTGATCCCCCCCCCCCCCCACAATTTGGATATCTGGGTCTGACATGCTCCCCCTGATCTCACTGAGTAAATTCTTCAGAAAATTTATGTACAGTTTTTCTTCATTTGGGGTGTATGAATTAACCAAAAGAAAATGTTTCCCATATAGCATAACATCATGAATTAAATACCTGCCCCCTGGGTCACATATTGTATTTAAAACCTTATAGTCGATGTTTTGAAAGATAGTCAACACCCCCTTACTGTTGGAAACACCATGGCTAAAAAACATCGTTCCCTACACTGCTTACTCCAAAATTTAACCACATCTGTACTGCTATGCGTTTCTTGCAAAAGCACAATACTAGAGCCTTGATTATTAACCCACCTAAACACTTTTTTTCCTTTTTTTGCAACGACCCAAGCCCCTCACATTTAGTGACAAAATTTTAAGTTCAGAAAACATGGCAGTTGAATTGTAATATACTCCCTGGTACACCACTTATAATAAAATTTGACCCTTTTCTCATAAAAACCCAACAAAAAACAAAACAAAGGAATCTGCCCCCAGGCCAAAAACTTGGCTGTAAAAGGTGGGCCACAAAAACTCCCAAATCTCCCCATATCGGATGCATCCACATCTGAATAAAGCCATGGATTGTGCATCATGAAATACCCACCCTGCGAGCTCCCAACACTTTAAAAAAACAAACTCTTTTTCTCAAAAAAACAACACTCAAACCGCGTAACTCTACAAGTTAACATATATCAAAAATTACATTACTGTTCAAAAGTTCAAAACTCACAATTCACCAACCCATATTTCCGTTCAACAGTTCAAGATAACAGTACAGAAACAACAGTTCGTTCGAAAGTTTCCTACTGCCCCATACACCACGACAAGCGAAAATAGCCTACCGCGTTCATTAAATCATCCAAATCTGGGACACTGCCTGTCAGCCGAATTATCTTCAGTTCTTAACTAATTTCCCATCAATGAAAAGTCTACTGTTGGCAAAACGTGGACGTTTACCTTGTTCAAACGCTTTCTGCATGACTGGATGCAGCTCACATTTCCTTTTGTAATCAGCTTGCGTATAATCTTCAGTTGCAAATATTTCACCTTGCTTTAATAAACTTTTGGCTTTTTGTAGAACAGAGATGCGGTCTGGTCTCCTCATGATTTTGACGATTATATGAGGTGCAGGCCTCGCACCGATCCGGCGACCATTTATCCCAACTCGATGTGCATTTTCGATCATGGCGGCTGCGCTCTCGAACCCCAACTTCTCCTTTAATAAATCCGCAATTATTTCCATGCAGTTCTCGCCCTGCTGTATCTGGAATCCACCAAACCTAAGGTTGAAAGCTCTTGAGTATCTAGCAAGCCGAAGCGCCTCTTCCTCATTTTCCCTGGTCTTGGCTTCCAACTCCTTGATCTTTCTATCGAATTCACCGAGTCTGCCTTCTACCGCCTCATGGCTATTGCGCAATGTGGTCATTTCATCTGATGACGCAGTTAACGCTCTCTCGAAATCCGCCTGCTTCCTCTCCATACTCTCAAATCTTTCAGTTATAGCGTGTTTTTCCTCATTAAGCGCGTCCACCTTCTTCTCAATTCTTCTAAGAGCGTTTTTTATATACGATTGGAAGTCCGGATCGACCTCGTCATGCATATTGGGAGATTCACCATCGCTTTCACCTTGCTCTCGTGTTCCGATTTTTCCCAAAATTTGGTCATGTGATGATTGGGTCGCGAAACCCTGTAAGACATTTTGTTGTTTCGTTTTGGAAACCTTGCTTTTCACGGTCTTCGGCGACATAATTTTAACAAAAACTCACTTTCATCCGGCGACCAGAACTTTACATCCCAAATAAAGTGATTCGCTTGATTGTCCTGTATTTAATACCTATAAAAACTTCACCGGAGCCCACGGAGCAGGCCAGTCAAAGATCTTGCTTACATGCAAGTAACCTTTGACCTTTTTGTGTTTTTAAGTTCTTTAGTTTGTCGTCAAGTTACCAAATTATAACTGGTAGATGAATTATATAACAAAATTAATATTCAACGTGAAGCATTTTCCATTAAGATTAGTCTGAGATGCAAACCATACTTCTGCGTTGTTTCCTGTATAGCCATTAGGTTCCTTCCTTCTGCGTTTATAGAACGTTAATTTTATAGATTTTTGGAGAGAAGAGAATTAATAATTTTATTGATAAAGGTGCAATATGTAAGGCTTACATCAGTGTAACTTGCAAATGTCAGAACTTTTAGGTCATTTTGGCCAAGGTATTCAATAAAAAGGCCTTTCAACTAAGTTTTGTCGTCAACTTTAAGGACCCCAGTTTCACTATCATTGTGAATTTAAAAGGTTGTTGATCTTACAATATTCTGTAACGTCAAATTCTATAAATTAATAATTAAAATGTGCACCCGAAATATTTTAGTTATGGGGGGGGGGGGGGGGTTGCATATTGTAAACAAAAAAATACAGTGTTTTTTCTCTTTTCAGTGTCTCTAGTAACTTCAGTACTCAAGTGAATAGTTTTTTACGCTGCGTTCGGCTTTTGTGTAAACTGTACAAAATGGGAAGCTTAGTGGATTCAACGTCAGCCAATCAAATATCAACTTACATGACGCCAAAAATGAATAATTCATCTTCTCCATTTAAGGTAATGTTCTGATATTTATTGATTATGCATGGCTTATTGCTTATTGGACCAAAGTTTGTTAGTGTCTGTTGGACAGGGACTTATGTTTTGACCTTTGTGTGTACGTGCGTCTGTTCAGTTCTAGTGCCATATCTCTGCTACGCTTTGACTGATTTTATATACTGTAGAATACTTTATTTTCGCTTGGAATTTATTTTCGCTATTTTCGCTGAAGTGATGATTCCATGAAAATAAAATCCAGCGAATATACTTTTTTTCCTATATTTCACATTAGACTCATGAAAAATCATTGAAAATAAATTCCAAGCAAAACGCCCAAAAAGACTTTTCAGCGAAAATTAATTCCAGCGAAAATAAAGTATTCCACAGTATTCATTATGCATCATGAGATAGATGTATTGGTTTGACTATCTGATTCAAAATAGTCAAATGGCAGCCGTTTTTGTGCTAAAAAATCATCACAAATCAAGCATTTTTGGCATTCCAGAACTGGAAATGGATTTTGCTCAAACTAGGTACATATGTTGAACATTATGGGACCTTGATGCACATCATTTTATTTTTCCGATCCAATTTAAAAAGGCCAATTGGCGACCATTTTGTTTTAATGAATGCAGTTCTAGTGCCATATCTCTGCCATGCTTTGACTGATTATGATCAAATTTTATATATTAGTTTTAAATCATGTTATAGATATATACATGTATTCAAAATGGCCGACTGGTGACCATTTTGTTTTCAATTAATGCTGTTCCACAGCAATATCTCTCAATATGGACAAATACTCGTTTGACCAGATACAAGATGACTGAATGTCAATCATTTCAGTGTTAAAAAATCATCATAATCAAGCATCAGCTTCTGGATCCATACTTCTAACAAAACTATAAACAAAACTATATATCTTAAATTTTATAACTAACAAGGACTGTGCCATGCATGGCTTGTTTTTATTAAATGTGATGTTAGGGACTGTATTGAGCTGTGTTATAGATTAAAGTGCCTGTGAAATGGCTGCTATTTTCACGCCTAAAATTATCCATTGATACATAAATATTATTATTTTTTATGTTTCTAAGCATGAATTATTTTTTTAAGTGAAAAAATGTGTTTTAAACTCAATCTACGGCAACTTTATTTTTGTGTATTTTAAAACGAGGCTCCTCATTAGCTTCTTATTTGCATACAGAAATTCCCCTTGTGACGTAAGAAGGGGGAGTCACATGGCAGCTTGCATTGCCGATACGTGTAAATATAAAAAAAGGCAAATTTCTTCTGCAATTTTCTCGTCTTTGACTAAATTTTCACTTATGTACTTGTTCGTCGAAGAGGAATGGACCATACTGAACACATAGTATCAATTTTTGTTGCATGGGGTTGAGTTAGATGCGAAATATGCGTTCTGGTGTAGCGTTCTGGTGTAGCTGGTCACCGTGATCGTCAGCGGCGCACGTTTGTACACTGTCGCTGGACACGTCGGAATTATCTTGTTATTTAGCAGGTTACTAGGCACGTCACTACACTGTTTTATTTCATCGATCGTCTGAGTAAAACTTTCAAAATTAAAATAAAAGAGAACATATTTTGACATTCTAAACATTAGACTATTATAGTGATCACTATAAAATAATTTTAAAAAACGACAAATCACAGTTACTAAATAAATGACAGCCGCGTGGAAATAAATTGAAATTTTGTTGAAATAGGTGAAAGCGTCGGGTCACGACGAGGGTAAGTGCGTTAAAAGCGGCATTTAACTGGATAACAAAAATAACCGAGATCGACACACATACAGATAAATTCAGAGTGGATTCGAGTAAGCGTATTCCATGGCGTGATTGTCATAATTATAACATCATATTAAAACTTTATTTGGTGGAAAGCCAAAGCCGGATTCTTATTTCAGAAATTATTACGCAGATCAAGCTGCAAGCATGGAGGTAAAAAAGAACAGAGGTGTGAATTCGACATTCAACACCAACCACCAAGCAATTCAGAAACTTTTAGCCTTCGAAAATGAAAACAATTAGCAGTGTGTAAGGGCAGTGTAATTTCCTGTTTGTCCGACGCTTCGTTTTCGTGTCACTGTCAAAATTATTGCTACCTTTTACTTAACAGGGACTAAATGGTCTCTATAAAACGATAATCCGTCAGGATCGCAAAAAAAGTCAACTCATTTAAAACACTTGCCGGACGTCTCTCTCTCTTCTGAAATCTGCCTCGGTGATCATGGTCCGGAATCTATTTCTTTCAAAAGTGTTGCGCCAGGTTTATGTTGTCGGCGTTTCTCTTTAAACCTATTTTTTTTTTTCATGGACGAGGACAGTTTTTCCAAAAAAGGAATCTGAGGCTAAGTGGCTTTCGTCCACTGATGTCGCACCTTTGGATCGATTAGAAACGTGTGAATACTTACACTATAACTATACGTTTCACTGCAACTGCCCACAACACAACATCTAAAAACTCTCTCTCTCTCAATAAAGAAGAAGAAAATAGACAAAAAAAAAAAGACAAAAAAAACGCCGACTGAAAAATGTATATCGTTTAAAAGTATACTGAATGACCAGTGTTATTACGGCTCAGGGGTATGACTTCCTCTCACATTTTGGCATTTGGTGGCGCACTTTCGGCGAGAGTCGGAATTCCGGAAACAGTCGACCGTTTCAGAATAGGTGGGCGTGGCTACAACACGAGAAATATCCCAAATTTACTTGGATACGAGTAATCATTTTCAGCAAAAAAATCAATAACTGCCCATTTCAGTGGAATACAGATCTAAAATGGGAAACGTGAGGGTGGTCATTGCACAGGCACTTTAAAGGTCAAGTGCAAATTCAACTTGTATATTATGTTTGCCTTAATAAAAATGTGCTTCAATTTTATGCCATTTTCTTTTGTATTTTTATGCTTTTCTATCACAAATTACAATTATTTTTTATGAGAGATTATTTATTTGAATGGAAAAAAGCAAAAGACATTGCTTCTATTTAAGATGCGCTTCTAATAGAGCAAATACAGTACACTATAACCACTCAACAGTGCATGATGAAATGGTCTCTCATTCAGTGATATAAAATGATCAATTAAATATTAACAAATTGTCTCCAGGTTTATATATTTACATCATTTAAGCCAGCTGGTGGATTTTTTAGCCCCGCTGTCGACTCTGTCGTTGTCCGTCTTTTTTGACTTATTCTTGAAAACTACAAGCCGGATTGTTTTGATACTTGGTGTATATGAACCTTGGGTAGGCCTTTCTTTGATTTGTTTATTTCTTGATGATATCTTCAATTCTCTAATTTTGATGAATATTTTTGTCATTTTTGGTAAAAAGTGATATTTTCGAATTCTTGTTCAAAACGGCAAGTTTGATTGCTTTGATACTACACATATTGTTCATTTTCTAATGATATCTTCAGTTCTTTAATTAAAATGTGCATTGCTAACAGCGGAGCTATCTCAGCCGACAGGCTGCTTGTTTGTTTTTGGTTTCATCACACACATGGAAAAGATATGTGGCAATGTTTGCGCATTCTTTTTTACTGTGATATCAATCATTTATAGTGGAAAATCTAGGAGATTTTTGTATTTTTTAAATTCATGGAAAGTTTTCAAATTCCCTCTAATTTTCAACGAACAAGTTGTTGATGCTGTGCACAGTTGTGCAAAGTGCTTGCAAAGTTGGTAGATATATTTGTATTTTTGACCTAAGTTGCTGGCATACAAATTTACTTCACAATGCATATTATTTACCACAGTACACTGGAACACATCAATATAAACTTTTCATTGACAACATAGAGGCTGAAAACAAATAATCAGATAAATATGAACATGTACTTATTTGAAAGTAGTCTATCAATAATTGTATTAAATCCTGGTTATTTGGATAAAATGATCAGTTTATGCATCAAGGACACAGCTATCGTGTAATTAAATTTAGATAAAACTTAACAAGTAGCTTATTGATTAAGTCTATTTTAATTGGTTTAACTATGTGCATTGTGTGTACATTTTTCTGATAAAGTGACAGTGTATTTCATGATCTATGTGCATACATTAAGCCTCTACAGTATTTTGTAAATTTTCTAGCATATCTTCCACTGTTGAGACGGCTTATCCATGACCATAATATTTTTTTAATTTACAAATAATGAGTGTAATCTCCAGTTTTTCATCAATTTGTGTAAGTTCTGATTTTTTTTGTGTGTTTTCGGATTTTTCTTCTATTTTTACAGTATTTTGGTAGAAATTGGCCACCAGAAAAGTCGTAAATGGTCTCTTTTGAACTCCTATGTGTAATAACCAGAACAATTTTTTTATTTAGTTACATGTACTGAACCAAAAATTGTGAAATCAAATTAGGAAGCACACTGTAATATGTCATGTTAGGTTAATACAATGTATATTAGAATATATTTATAATATGCAACAGCAGGAGAATATGTACAATTTTTTGGTTGACCGAGTTAATTTTCTGTCTGTCCACATGTAGGTGAGAATTGCATATACCATTTATGTTCATTTGGTACCACAGATATTGTTTTGGCTCAGTGTGAATCATGTTAAAAAAAAAAATTGCACCTTATATCCCATGCATGTACATGAACGGATAAACTTGGTAGAGATAATTATTTGTTGGAGTGAGTGAATTAATAGGATACAAAAAAAACATGGTCAGATCTTTAGTTCAAATTCTACTTAAGGTTTAACTTTGAAAACTGGACCCCTTCCCCTGCTACCCTGCATTGACCTTCTATCCTGGGTGAATTTTGCCCAGCGGACGCCAAATCCACTGGCTGAGATTCTTTCAGTCATTAACAAATATAATATGGTTGCTAAGCTTTACAGGTGCTTGTCAAACTGCTTGTAATGTCAGTATTAAATTGTCATAAAAATATTATAATAGAAACGTGATTACATATGTATGGTATATGTACATTTCACTTGCATGTTCAAAGTTAGCAATTAGCAACTACAACGAAAATATATAATTGTAATATTTATGGCACTCTGTGGATGTCAGTGATTTTTATTGTGTTCTTTTCGTGTTCTTGTTCTTGTAGCCGCTTGAGTTGCTGTGGAATTCATTAGAAGAGTGGCTTTTTTTGATTGGTTCTGAGCTGAAAAGAGCCGAACATGCGAAAGCACAGGCATCGGAAGTAGCAAAAACTGTTGTTGATAACGCTTTAGAAGCAGCGCTTGACAAATTAGCCATTGAGAAGGAAGTGCGTGCTCAATCACTGATCAGAGGAACTCCACGAAAAGTCAAAGCCGACACAAGTGATGTTGACACTGGTGAAGATGTGTCAATGTCAGCTGGGCATTTTGAAGGAAATTTACAACGTCTGCAATCACACAATGAAGAAGAAGAAGAAAAAGCATCTAACGAGGAACCACTATGTGGGGATGTTACAGTGAGAGAGGGAAATGACACTAAAACTGTGGAAGAACTGTTTGCAGCAAACCTAATTGTGAGAGCTACAGATGATGTCTTCATTCCCACACTTGGCTTGAAACCTGTCCCAAGAGAGGAAGATATCTTACGCACAGTGTCAAAGGAAGTCAGGCGGCGAGCTTCCGAGCAGGATGGTATCTTTGGAGACATCGCCATGTTGGCATCTGACGATGCATCTGTCTCCGATATCAGGAATAATTTATTAACCGAGAGCGATAAACAAAATGATAACATGCATAGTGCTCATGACATGGTGTCTGCTACAGCTGATAGACTATGTGCAGTAACCCAGGCATTCTATATGTGCTGCTCCTGCCAATCGAAAGACAGGTATAAAGCAGTATTAAATACTGTAAAATACTTTATTTTAGTTGTAATTAATTTTCGCTGAAAAGAATCTTTGAGTGTTTTGTATGGAATTTATTTTCACTGATTTTTGTTGATTTGAATGTAAAATATAGAAAAAAAGATATATTCGCTGGACTTTATTTTCACTGAATCATTCCTTCAGCGAAAATAGTGAAAATTAATTTCAAGCGAAAATAAAGTCTTTTACAGTATACACCAGAATAACCAAGCCTAGATTTGTGAGTCATATTTAAGTTAAATTGTGAGTTTAGGCCAAAAAAAATATTTTTATATCTTCCTAAATGGACATTATCCGAACAAGAATGTGTAAATGCTTGATTCTATGTTCAAAACAGCAAAACTTTAAATAAATTAATAAAAATGTAATGATTAAAATATATTTTCTAATTTTTAAAAATACTGATTTTTTACCTCTCAGAATGACATCACCAAGATTTATTGAGTTTGTCTGTCGACATGACGATGTTTTAAAATTTCTAGTTACAAGGTAAGTACTGGTATTTTGAAAGTAATTCCCAGTAAATATCACTGTAATCATGTCTTTGGTACCTCCCATGATGCATCACAATTCATTTGTACTCAATTTCACGGCAATGCAGGGTTAGACCCATGGTCTTGCAACCAACCTTGAACAACAAAAAATTAAACAACTGATAACCACAGTGTACCTCATTTACTAAGCGTAAGACAATGCGTACAATGACTAGTCTACTCTGTGGCATTTCTGAAAGAAATGTACAATAGTTAAGGTAGAGATGCAGGTTTGTGGGCACTTGGGAGTGAATTTTTTTTTTTTCTTTTTATTATTCAAACAGTCTTGGCTAAAGACTGTTCAAATTTTGTAGAATTGTGAATGGTGGAACATACTCAAAAAACGACTTTAAAATATAGATAACAGGTGCAAACATTCTCTCTTTTGAATGCTTAGCAAGATTTAGTAAGGCTGTACATAAATAATAAAAAAGAAACATGGTGAAAAAAAGAAATAACGGGATCTCCAAATTATGCACTATATTTAACTTTTAACAAAACTATAATACATTTAAATTTGGAACTGTTACAGCCATTTTAATTATGAGCATTAGCAAACTTCTTACTGAGTGAATTGTTATGCAAATTAGCAATTATCTCATCTTCTTTTTAGTGCACATCCTAGAACTTAAAAAAATATAGCTCCTAGAGGCTTTGACCTTTTGTTTTGAAATTTTCACAAATGATTGACAATGTGTTTATCTTCAAAACGCCGTCGGGGCATTGTTTTTGGTTGAACAGTGTTACAACAATCGTACAGACAACTAGCCTGGGTGTTAATTTATGCATAAACTTGAAGTAGTGAAATTTGAGCTTGCTGCCCTGCAAAATTGACAACTGTTAGACAGTTTTCAAGACGGCACTTTTTTCACAGTAAACAGATGTACCCATAAACCAATTTTGACAGGAAACAGAAGCATGGTTTAGAAGCTAATTTTTTTTAAATCACTTTTGACCAAAAAAATAACACTCAACAAATAATCAAGTTTTGTACAGTATTCTACATTATATATGGAACCAATCTGACAACTGTATGGTAGAGATAAATACTCAAATTTTCTTGAAATATAAAATTAATATTTTGCTGTATTTCATTTCATAGGAATCCTACAATTATTTTTGATTATTTTGATTTTTTATTGGAGTGCCCAGAGTTGATGTCTAGGTTCATGCATATAATTAAATCACAGGTTAGTATTAACAGTAATCATTGTATATTCATTCCCCTTCATTCCACTTAACCATTCCAATTACCCCACTCCACTTTGCTAACTCCACTAACCTATCTCCACTTACCCGTTCCCACTACACCCATCCCACTTACCCATCCCACTTACCCATCCCACTTACCCGTCTCCACTTACCCGTCTCCACTTACCCGTCCCCACTTACCCGTCCCCACTTACCCGTCCCCACTTACCCGTCCCCACTTACCCGTCCCCACTTACCCGTCCCCACTTACCCCACATCACTTACCCCACTCCACTCACCCACTCCACTCACCCGTCTCCACTCACCCGTCCCCACTTACCCGTCCCCACTTACCCATCCCACTTACCCATCCCACTTACCCATCCCACTTACCCATCCAACTTACCCACATCACTTACCCCACATCACTTACCCCACTCCACTTACCCGTCTCCACTTACCCGTCTCCACTTACCCGTCTCCACTTACCCGTCTCCACTTACCCGTCTCCACTTACCCATCCCACTTACCCACATCACTTACCCCACTCCACTTACCCCCACACCAATTACCCCACTTCACTTACCCCATTCAATGTATCCCATTCCACTTAGCCCACTCCACTTTACCAACTCCACTTACCCATCCCACTTACCCACATCACTTACCCCACTCCACTCACCCATTCCACTTATCCGTCTCCACTTACCCGTCCCCACTTACCCGTCCCCACTTACCCATCCCACTTACCCACTCCACTTACCCCACTCCACTTACCCCACTCCACTCACCCACTCCACTTACCCCACTCCACTTACCCCCACACCAATTACCCCATTTCACTTACCCCATTCAATGTATTCCATTCCACTTGCCCCACCCCGGAGCTATCTCAGCCGACAGGCTGCTTGTTGTTGTTACAATAAGTCAAGCAGTTTTATACTTACTGAGATTTTGTTCAAACTTTGTATTTTTATTTATGGGATCCTTATTTACCAGATAAACCTCAAAATGGCTGACTGATGGCCATTTTGTTTCAGTGAATACAGTTTTGAAGCCATATCTCTGACATCTTTTGTCTGTTCATGTTCAAACCTTATATATTTCTTAAACTTGAGAATTCACAGGGACTATGTAGTGCAAGTACTTATTACCTTTTATTTGGTGGATGTTATACACACATCTGTTTTTTTTACATGTACATTAAATATTACCCATATGGAACATGACATTGCTGTATTAACAATGGTATATTTTTATTGACAGCCCTTCCATCTGAGAAGAGAATGGTTTTATGATAACTTACTTCCTTTAGAAGAAGAAACATACGTACACAGACCTCCTGTAGATGATGATGTTTTACTCGTACACAGAGGTAAGAGTTTTCAGTGAAACCTGATGTGTGGACGGATGATCAAAGAGATTGCAGGTTTGACTCCCATGTCAGTTGTGTACTCAGTAGTGTTGAAAATAAGAATACATACTGGTCACTTGCAAGGCTCATGACATTCATGGTTGGGAATATGGCATCCAGTCAAAGAGATGTGAAGTTGTTAGTCCTGTGTGTTGTTCCTCTTCTAAGTGCACATAAAAAATAACAGCATTCTTATTGCAACGAGTAGGAGATTACTGCAGGATGACTGGAACTTACCCACATCCCAGATCTGTAATTTGGTTCTTTTTATGCCTAATGAATGAATAATTAAATAACTAATTAAACTAATGTGTGACTTTAATTATTACTAGTGTGAGCAGTTTTATGCAAGTGTTTCTGAAGAGTCTTTCCATGATGTAATGTGTGGAGTGAAAAAGTTCCAAAAATCGAATGAATTTGTATTTGAGGTACTGAGAATAGTGTGGTTCATTTGTGATTGCAATGTTGTACATACATGTAGTACGATACTCAATCCATTTTGCTTTAAGTTTATTCAAATTTGCTGACTTGTAGGCGGCCTTTTTTTTTTTGCATCTACATTACAAAATACAATCTAAGGTAATTATTTATTCAGTCTGTGGTGTATTGGAAATTGTATGATTTACGTTCTTAATATACTGCTAAAGCTGGAAATGTTTTTCTTATCATTAGATTCTCTCTTCAATAGTAGTTGTGAAGTAGTTAAAAAAGCCAGTTCAGAAAAATTAAAACAGGGTATTGCCGTCAGATTCTCTGGTGAAGATGGCATGGTAAGTTTGTTTTTTATACTCCATACTTCCAGGTCCTGTTTCTTATGTCAATTATATATTGAAACATTATATCAGCTTTTTATGATGTGTTTTTAGGGTTAGTAACAGATTGTAATAGTGTCTTCTTTGAATGTTTCCTTTTACCAGGGTCAAGGTGTTGTCAGAGAGTGGTTTGATACTCTCTCAAAAGAAATACTCAATCCTGATTATGCTCTATTTACACAGTCTGCTGATGGTATGTGACTTCAATCTGTATTTTGCTATAAGTGCTTAATAAATTATGCACTTTATTAATTAGCTAGGGTCTGCAAGTACAATATACTCAAGTACTATTGGCTCCCACACACATTCACAATAGATTTAAATTTGTATAAATGCACATCTCACAACACTGGAAAAAAATGGGGAATGTTGGGAATGACAGATTATTAAAGTCAGTTACATATTATGGAAGTTCTGGGGAGTCACCAACATCTAACTATTATATTTATTAAATGGTTAATAATTTATGCACCTTATTAATTGGCCAGGGTCTATCAATCTATATTTATCTTATACCGGTAATTATATTTACAGGTTCTACATTTCAGCCAAATAGTAATTCTTCAATAAATCCAGATCATCTGAATTATTTTTGTTTTGCTGGTCAGTTGATGGGCATGGCACTGTATCATAAGCATTTGCTGTCTGTCTATTTCACTAGATCTTTTTATAAACATATTTTGGGTGAGTATTCAATCTGAAATGTTATACACTCATATTATTGAAGTCATATTTTTTTCAAATAAAAAAAATTATAAAGACTATTTGGTTTATGAAATATCATACATCAGTTATTGAGAATGCAGTTATACAAATTACTAATCATGTGTTCAACGATATCTAAGGCTTGTCTGTGCCTATTTCATTCACACTTGTTATTGATGTTTTGCGATTTGATTTAAAATCGAAGAATGGTGGCCATTTTTCCCCCTAAGTTTCTGAGATAAGATTTTATCAATTTTGTTTACATTGAGTACTAATGTAAGACATACAAGTAATGGGTTGCATGTTTGATTCGGTAATTTTTTTGATAAAATTATAAAACTGGTGATCATCTTTATCTTTGTTCAAAAAAATTGAAATCACAAAAATTTTAACGTCACGAACTGTTTTCTATTTTATTCAAATCTGTTATGGACATCACACATGATTGGTTCTTGTTGCACATCATTCTTTTTGTGATTTTTTTTTTTATGTATTTATTTTTATGTATTCTTAACCATCACTCAGACACTTGATCAATTGGTGCCCATTTTGTTACAAAAACAATTTTCACATGTCATCCATCGTTTTTCAAGTGTGTCTGGTTTCACTTAAAATTATTGTTTTCAAAATAATGATATCTTCTATGATACATGTAAGTCCAACTCTGCTGAAATGTTGCAATTTTTAAGCGGGAGGGTCGTCATCTGCGCACACACGGGAATTGAGTCCCAGTTGATGATAACAACACGCGCTAAGAAGGCAAAGGCTCATGGGTAGATGCTTGTTTGTAAACAATGACACGCTATGGCCATCTGACGCATGCACAGGTGACGACTCCCCCGCTTTAAAAAGCAGGCGGAGGATGCTTAACTGACACGCATTGGTATTCAAATGCTACACGTGTCGGTAGTAATTACAAATAAAGCAGTCTTCTCATCCTGTATATTCATTCTTGTATTTGTTATAATAGGTATTCCTGTAAATTATCATGATGTTGCATCTATTGATCCTGAATATGCTAAAAACTTACAGGTTTGTATTTAAAAATAGTCTTTACTCTGGGCTGCACTTAGGAGAGTTTACCATCAGCATTTTGTCTGACCTGAAAACAATTAGTTTTGTTTCGAAAGAAATCTTCATACCCTTACACTTGTAAACTGAACATTCTTTTTCTAAAGCCTGTTGAATTCAGAAATCAAATCTTAAATATATTAATTACCAAACTATTGATTTTTTGGTCTTTTTAATTGTTCAGTGGATATTGGACCATGATATCAGTGATATTGGTTTAGAATTGACATTCTCTGTTGAGACTGATGTGTTTGGTGCAATGCAGGAAGTAGAGCTCAAACCATCGGGTACTACAATACCAGTAACGAATGATAACAAAGTGAGTATACAGAGTCTAAATAGTCGAGTAGGTATACTTGAATGTAGACAATAGCAAGAATCTAAATGTGTGTGTGGCAGTAGTTTGTTTACCAGTACTCATTTCAGTCTTTAAGTTAGTTGACTACCAGTAGAACTTGATGATCACCAGATTTTCTTGACCATTATCATATGAATTTATTTTAGATAGTTGCTCACAAAATCCTGATAAAAAAAAATAATGTCATATACTACTTTTCACACAAATAAAGGTGTCACACCATTGGTTTCTTTTGCGAAAATGTTTTTGCCTATCAAAACATTTTTCTGGTATTTAGGATTGCCGTGAATAATGACAAATATTGCTGAATGATATGTATTTATTGTGAAATATGGCTTTAACATGTATTTCTATGGGAATACAGTATAGTTCCAAAATGGCCAATTTTTGCACGTTTCAGAATTTGTTTCCCCCCCAAAAAATATTTCATGCTTGGTAAAAAAAGACCCCAAAACTATTAACTTGTGTCAAAATTGTTTAATATTTTAAACAAAACAAAGCTTTAATTTCTTTCTTTCTCATTTGACTTCACATTTATTAATGACAGTGACAGTGACATTGAAAGTAGCTATGTTCAACCAATTTAATTAATATTGTTGCTTTTTAATTCTTTGTTCCAATCTTTATTTTGTCCATTCCTCCAGGCAGAGTATGTACAGCTTGTAACTGAGTTACGAATGACGAGAGCAATACAACCACAGATTAACAGTTTTCTACGTGGATTTCATGATTTCATTCCACCAGCATTAGTGCAGCTATTCGATGAGTATGAATTGGTTAGTTTGCTTTATTTTAACTTTGTTCTTTATTCCCTGATTGAACACAGTCAAATAGTTAGCTCAACCATTTCACTTATTTATTGATTTATTTATTTATTTTACAAAATCACTCATTTCCACTAGAAATTTACTTTGGAGATTTTTTGCTAATCTTACAATTCTTGTGACTTCTTCATCACATAATATACAACTTGCACACCCTGATCTTATAAATCCTTGGTAAAAATAATATCATGATCACATCTTCGAATGTATCTTCTGTATAGTATAGAATAGAAAACAATTTTAATCTGCACTTGTATCTGTGCTAAATACTTAAAATTACTTTACGTGCACACATTCATAGAGACACTGCAGTGATTTCACATAAATGCATTAAATT